TGAGAAACTGTTTATTCTTTTAAATTTTGAATGTGAAAAAGTAGAAGAAGAAAGGGGTATTTATATATCATTATGAGCGGGAAATGAAGAAGATGTTTATCCTCTATCATTGGATTTAAAGTAATAGACGGTTTAGATTTGACTGAGTTTTTCAAAAAAATTTAATTATTTTATAATTTATTTTAAAAGATTGTTTTTAAAATAAAACAAAATATTGGTTAATCATATTTTCAAAAATTGTATTTTAAGAACTCCAATGAATTTTTTTAGGCAATTATAATTCACTTATCCATCAATTCATTAAATTGTATGAGAAAAATTATTGATGATACTGATAAGTAATTATTTAACTTTTTAAAAGATAATATGTAATTATGATTATTTTAAGTATGTAATTTATCAAAACTTAGAGTGTACGGACTTTATAATCATTATCATTCAGTTTTATTAAGAAAAAGTTTTGGATAAATTTAATCATAAATAAAATATATTATAAATCTTCAAAATTAAAACAATTAAATATATAATTAAATATAGTAATATTAGTTGAGTAAGGAAGTTGTTATATGCTTCTATTTCGTTCAATAATGGGATTAGTGGGTTATAAAGCAGTTAATCATTTTAGAAGTTACTACTACTTTTTTATTATAATTTCTTATTTAATTAATTTAATTAAGTAGAAAGTTGTTATATGCTTCTATTTCTTTTGGGATTAATGAGTTATAAAGCAGTTAATTATTTTTAGAAGTTACTACTACTTTTTTATTATTATTTCTTATTTAATTAATAAATTATTTGTTATTAAAGATGAAGAATAATAACTTACTAATCTATTAACAGTAAAAGAAAAGTGTAAAATGAAAAATAATAAACGGTTGGCGGTTAATAAACCTTTGTGTAACCGCCATTGTGGAAAAAAAAATTAAAAATTAAAAAAAAATTGAAAAGGATAAATTTGGAAGAAAAAAAAGCTACATCAAAATCATCTATTGCCTTTATATATTGTTATAGATAACTTATATTATACTATCATGCATCATTTTACTAACATACACACATATAGTACCGTAACTCTTGTGACATTTAATTTTTGTTATTCCTTATAAACGTTATATTTTATCAATTTAAATCAATACAATTTTAATAAGTTGATTAAATTTTTTTTATTTTGTTATTCTTATCACATCTATTCAATTTTAAAGGCCACACATTGATCATCCAAATGAACTACCACCGGTGTAAGGTTGATACTACAGATACACCAAAGGAGATTTCTTTCTAGCTCTTACTAGTTGGAAATCAATAGGAGGATCTTCATTTGGTGGTGAATAGCTAATGTCATCCTCAGCCAAATTTGCCCATGAGGCTTTTAAGAATTTCATATTTTGTTGTATGTTGATGTTCTCTTGTAGAGTTGTGTTGTCTCCTTGATTACTAACTTGAATGGTTTCCACTTCTTTTTGGGTAGCATCCACAAATTCAGAACCATTATCACTAGATTCATTACCATCATTTTCTCATCATGAAAGTGATGTTAGATTAATTATTTAATTAATTAAATATAGATTGACATAATTAATTATTAATTAATTATATTATGGTCTATTGTTATTAAACATTAAATAGATGAATTGTTTGATTGAGTTTTGTGTCTGAATGGACCGTAATGAGTTGGACCATTCAGTTAAGACCAATGAGAGGTCCCTGCCCTTAGCCGTTTAACTATTTAAATGTCTCCTCATTAGACAATTAAACTATTCTGAAAATCCTAAATGGCAACGAGGGTAGTAATTCTCTCATACTCACAAGTTTCGACAACGACCTATTCAATCTTATAAGGTACACCGTTCTAATTATTCTTGATTATTGTTAGATTAAACAATATGCTATAATTTGTATCTATTAAATTCATTTTAATCCTTCAAGTGATTCTTCTCTTTATCCGCTTCAACATCATCTGATATGTCTACCTAATTATCAAATATGTTGTGTATGTCCACATTAGGGATGCTCAAATAAACCGGTTATTTAAATTATCCATATCCATATTCAAATTCAGTTATTAAAATCCGGTTAATTATTAATATGGTATTAACCAAATTCATATTTTGGATATATTTTTAATATGGTTTTAATCAAATCCATAATTTGGACATCCATATCCAAAATAAAAATCAAATTAGTCAAATTTTTTTAATTAAAAAAGAAACTTAAAAAAAAAATTCAAAAAAAATTATTGTTTTAATTTTTTTAAAAAAAAATTTAAAATAACAATTATTTTTTTTTAAACATCAATATTTTTTTTTAAAAAAAAATTATGATTTCAAAAAAATCAATTTTAAAATAAAATTAATTCAAAACTAATTATAAAATTGGTTATGAATATAACTGGTTTATAACCATTTTAAAAGATAAAAACCGGTTATGAGAATTAGTTTTAACCGGTTATAAGATATAAATTATTTATAGTTATAAATTGGTTATGGATATTAATCATCCATGAACACCCGTAGCTAGAGGTGGCAATAGGATCCATTAAGACAAAATCCATCCAATCCATCTATTAAAAAATTCATCCAATCCATCCATCTTATAAAAAATAAGTTAATGGATTGGATTAAATCCATCCATTTATATGCATGGATGGATTCAATCCATCCAACATATTTTGAGAATCCAATGGATTATTTTTATTTTTGTTATATTATTTTTTTAAAAATAATTAAAAATAGATTTTTAAAATTTAAATAAAAATAAATTTTTTAAAAGAAAACAATTATTTTTTTTTCAATAAAAAAACTGTAATTTTTTTTTTGAAAAAAAATCGGTTTTTCTTTTTTTGAAAAAAATATGTTTTTTTTGTAAAAAAAAATCGTTTTTTTTTTCAAAATAAAAAACTGATTTGTTTTTCGAAAAAAAATCAATTTTTTTAAAAAAAGGTTTTTTTAAGAAAGAAATGATTTTTTTTCGAAACAAAAAACAAATTTCTTTTTTAATAAAAAAAGAAATTTTTTCGAAAAAAAACCGATTTTTTTAAAATACAAAAAACTGATTTCATAATTTTTTATAAAATTTAAAATATAATTCATGGTTCACCTTTTCTATTTTCAATGGTGAGATATAAGTTACCACACTCGGACTATAGATTAAAAATTTTCAATGGTGAGATATAAATTACCACAATCGGACTATAGATGAGATATAAGTTATCACAATCGGACTATAGATTAAAAGTTTTTAATGGTGAGATATAAGTTACCACAATCAGACTATAGATTAAAAGTTTTGAAAAATTAAAATTTTAGCTTCGTAAATATTATATATAAATGACATATTAATCATTAGAAATGATATCCCTATCTAAAGGGAGTGAAAAAGTGGTTGAATAAATGTTTTTATATTAGTTTCACTGGCTAAATAAATGCTTGTATATTAATGAATTTATTTTCGAAAATGAATATATATATATATATATATATATATATATATATATATATATATATATATATATATATATATATATATATATATATATATATATATATATATATATATATATATATGAAAAAAACAATAAGTTTGTCCAACGATATTTATTTATTCAAAGTGAAATACAACTAAATGACACAGAAGATTAACGAAAAAAAGATATGAGCCATCAATGAACTCAAAAAGAAAACAAACATGAAACTTGACAAGTTTCTTTTATGAAATTTCATGTAAATTAATATAGATTAAAAGAAATTTAAAAAATAATTGAGAATATTAATTATTTTTATGAAATTTAAAAAATAATTCAGAATATAATTTTTTTGTAAAATTTAATTTTTATTTTATGAAATTTAAAAAATAATTAAAAATATTAATTTTTTTTTGTAAAATTTAAATTTTTTTATGAAATTTAAAAAATAATTCAAAATATTTAAATTATGTTTCTATGATATTTAAAAAATAATTAAAATTTTTTAAATTAATTTTTTGGATGGATGAATATCCATCCATTAGAAATATGTTAATGGATGGATTGGATGGATTTTATCTCTTAATGGATGGATTGGATTAGATTTTTATTAAGAGAGTTAGTGGATTGTTAATGGATTAATGCATTGTTTTGATCTATCCATTAACAATCCAATCCATATCCATCCAATCCATCTATTTTGCCACCCCTACCCGTAGCCCACCTCAATGTATTTGGTTGTTTATCATTTTGTGTGTTATCTATTCTGTCTTGGGTTTTATCATCATTGAGCACCACAGTTTCCTTTCCTTCATGTTGTCTTTGACCTGCACATATTGCTTTTTTTCCTGTTGTTTTGGGTTTTGTATTTTTCAATTCTTCCTTGTTTTGTACAAACTCACCCCTGCCAACAATCTTGTTACATTGAGAGATGTGGTGCCCTATCATACTACAGTGGTTATAGAAAGCAGGAATATTTTCATTATCAATTTTAATAAAGAAAGCAAAGCCTTCTCTTTCAACCAAGACCTTTTGCCTTAGTGGTTGTGCTAGATCAATGTTCCTAAACTGCAGTGCATATTTTTTTTCCAGAGCATGAGCCCACCTTAACCAATATATTTTAACAAGAATATATTTTATCTATTTAATAGTCAAATTGATAATCTTTTCCAATAGATTAAATCAATTAAATTTTAAAAAAGCTATCCAATATTTTCTAAAGAGAATTTTGTTAATTTACTAAATATTAAAAATAATAATTATCTTATGTATTACACCATTATCTTATCATATACTCTTGTAAATCATAATTTATTAAATATTTTATCAAATTCTTATCCTTTCATAGTATCATATCATTTTTTTTATAGTATATTTTTTTCATTTCTTTAATTTATATTTGCAAAGAAACAAATCTACTATAAATAAAAAAGCTAGAAACTTCTTGAAAGCTCTATATATAGATTTGTCAAGAGAGAAAGTTAGAGAGAAAAAGTGATGGCGAGTCTTCTAAGATCTCAAGTATCATTCAGAAGATCAGGTTCATCTGGTCTTGTTTGGGATGATAGATTCTTATCCGGAGAATTGAACAAACTCAATCCAGAACAACATCAACAACGACGCAAAAGTACTTCTACTACTACTGAAGAATCTAATTATAATAATAATATCAAAGAGCTTCACGACGGAACCACAATACAGAGAAGCCGCTCTACCGGCGCTGGCCGAGGATACCGTACCGGAAAAGTCTCTCCGCCGGCGTTCGATCCACCGTCTCCAAAAATCTCTGCGTGCGGGTTCTGTAGTCCTTTCGCGAAAAAGAATCAACGGTCAAAGCCCGGCACGCGTCGATCAAGATAGGTATGATCGTATATTGAATTGAATTACTGTCGGAGCTTTTCCGGCTGCCGGTAAAAGGATGCTCCGGTGTGTTTAGGGTTAGTTGAGTTCAGAGAGAAAAACAGAGTAGTGAATTTTGATCTCTCTGTTTTGTGTGTCTTTTCTTCTTTCTATTGAGTTTGGATTAATAGTTGATTGTAATTATTATATTTATGTGTATAATATTTGTTTGATGAGTTTATTAGAAGTTTTGATCTTTGTGATAAAAAATATGAAAATATTTTAGGCTTTGTGATTCTTAAGTTTAATCAAAGTTTCCAAACAGTTTTGCTAAGCTCAGTATCTCGATTTTGGTCTGACTTTCAATCAAAGTTTGAATAACTCAATTCAGCATATAACTCGAATTCACTTTGGTTCGATTGCTCGAAAATGAATCAATAAATAAATAAAATTTAAAAACTAAAATCGTAACTAATAGCTAATAATTTAGAAAACATTATTTAAGAAAAGAAAATGTTTTAAAATCGTAAGAGTTTGTCAAATGTTAGATTAGGTTAACTTATTTAAATAGTCAAGTTTTAATAATAATTTGCAATTAAAACAATTTTGTCTAAAAAATATTTATAGCTTAAGACACTATCATCAAAAATAGTTTATATGAACAAAAATACTACAATATCACGTTTTAAACTGTTGCAATTACAAAAGATATTTTTCGGCACTTTTTTGAATGAGAAACGAAGTTTCTTAATAAACAATGAAACAATTAAGTTTTCAAAGAGAAAAAGAAGAAAAGATAAAAAAGAAAGATGACAAAAGGATTTGGGCAAACTATTTTTTTCTATTACTTACTTAATGTTACAAATGATTATAAATGAATAATACTGATCTATCCTATTTAAAGAAAGATGACATGAATTTCCTACTGCCCTATCGTGGGAAATGTGGGATAATATGTTTTATTGAGAAAGGGAAATTCAAGATCATTATTGACCCACGTCTCTTTTAGAAATATGTATCAATTGTCCATCATTGACTGAATGGGCGACGACCCTTTCCAAGATAACCTTATGCACAGAGGTCTTTATAAATACCCTTCCCCCCACAAGAATGAAGACATACTCTAATTTATACATATTCTTCACAAATCAAAGGGCATCACACTCATTACAGTCTTAATACACACAACCGACGTAACCTCTAGTCTGCGACCAAGTATCGCCAACTACAAACAAGCCATATCACCTCACGTGAGTGGATCCCTTATACTACCTTAAAACACAACCAAACATGACTTCCCACTGTCGTGAGCAAACCCTCATCACCAAAACGTGTTATACACTTACTAAGGCCTCTAGGTCTCCCTATTCTTGCAGGGAGAACACACAAACTTATACGTTTTGACCAATACAATGGTGCCCACCGTGAGACCCCAGTAAAAGAAACCCGAGTCACATTTCCACTCCAACCCTTCCATCTCCGTTCTAAAGATATCTTACATGGCCCTACATTACGAAGAAAACACCATCGTAGGATGCCATTCGTGTTAACCCTCACAACAATGATCCCTTAGTCATCACTATCTAACACGACAATTGTGAAATCATATGTTTCTTGATAGATTCGGGTAGCTCCACTGATGTTCTTTTCTAGGATATCTTCTGAAAGCTACAACTAGATTTGGGTGACATAAAGAGGTTCAGCGGTTCCTTAATGGGACTATCAGGAAAACATGTACAAATATAGGTTGTGTGACCCTAAAAACTACATGTGGTGAGGCAGCAAATACCAAGATCATTGACGTCAGCTACCTCATCGTAGGCACCATGTCAGTTGTTGGGGTTGGTTTAAAATATAAATGTTGAAGAAGTCCCGCATCACTTACTTTGGGAATGAAGAGAGAGTACATGACTATATATATGATACAAGTTCTTTAAAGTCCCACATCAACTAGTTTTACTAAGGAAGAGGGGGTTATATGCTATATATATGATTCAAGTTATTCGTTCCAAGATGCACCGGTTAAAATTACTTTAAACTTGTATTTGACTTTCTTTTTTCTCTTATGCTTTGGTATTAGAGTGTTGTAAAATATAGTTAAATATTAATTTTGGAGGGTGTGAGTGTACTAGGGATCTGGGTCAGTTGATGGTATATTGTGAGTTAAAATAATTTTCACATAGTGTTATTATCTGGTTGTCTATTGACAACGACCGTGATTTTTTTCTCCAGTTTTGGAGTTTTCACGTCATGTTTTTGTGTTGTGATTATGTTCCTCTTTTATTTTTCTATGTTTTAATGCTCTAGGATCACAAGAGAGTGAGACACAACATCTCAACCCAAAACCTTAAGGTGTTAGGTAAATGAGTCATCTCTATTATAAATACAAGAATCCACTCATTCATAGGCAATATGAGACTTTAACCACTCACACTTGCACCCAACATTATTTCCCACAAATGTTAGTCCCCCACATCATATAATAGGATCCAACACTAAATCCAGCTGCTGCTCCCATACAAAGCTGAACTAGAGCTCTGATACCATTGTTGAGGAGTTCTGTAAGGTCAGGAGCACCAACGGAACTAATGCTCTAGGACCACAAGAGAGGGAGACACCACATCTCAACCCAAAATCTTAAGGTATTAGGTAAATGGATTCTCTCTCTTATAAATCTAGCATTCCACTTCTTCATATGTAATATAAAACTTTAATCACTCATATTGCACCTAACATCAGCTACCAAAGTATAATTGAATTTGAAAATTGAAAGCTCGAAATGAGACTATGTCGTCGAAATTTTTTGTTACATTATGAATTCCTAAACCCTTTGATAATAAGACCTTTTACCCTTCTTCTTCGACGGTTTCTCACTTTCAAATTCAATTTGACTTTGATTAGTTGTTTCATTTTCATCTCAATATTCATTATTATTGATCACTTTTAAATTGATTATTTGTTGTTGAAATCACTTTCATAGATTATGTACTACTTCTTGAATCTGATGTAATATAAATATATATTCCATTCAATTTCATGAATGAGTTGTTTATCTGATATCAAAAGATTTAGAATAGGTTTCATCTAGGTTGCAAAATGGAAATTATCTTTGTATTGTATTATTACCTACAATTTTATAATTTGATTTCAGATAAGTAAATAACTACTGTTTTTTTTATAAGGATGAGGGCCAAAAGGCCTAAAACAAAACAAACTACAAATACACCTCTCAAAAGGTAAAGTCTCCCACCTATCCCACATTATTTAAACTATTTATCTCACATTGTCCTTCATAGGCAATGTGGAATAATAATAATTTAATAATTAAATTAGATATTAAAATAAATAGTATTAAATAAATAAATAAATAAATTAGTATAAAAAATTATAAAAATATCATCTATTTTGGCGTAAAAAATTACTAAATATTTTAACAACTTTATATATAAGATAATATTTAATTACTAAATTTGAAATAATAATTAATAATTAATTTTATATACAAAACTGTTAGTTAGTGGAACAATTGTCAAAGAACACTATTTAATAATTAAATGAGATACTGAAATAAACAATATTAAATAAATAAATAAAAATAATTATAAAAATATCCTTCCATTTTAACGTCAAAGATTATTGTATAACTTAACAATTTATATATATAATTCATGTAATATTCCACATTCTTTAATTTTTTGTTTAAGTTTTGAACATTACATATATTTTTATTTATTGTTATTTTTATTTTTATTCTATTTTAATCTTTGTAAAAATTGATTTATATTGGAATGAATGCTTGTAGCTTGTATAATATTTAAATTTAGTATATGTAATTTTAAACCTTTCAAATTTGATGACACGACTCAACATATAAAAAGAACAAACAAATAAAATCAAATTTATGTATATAACAGTTCAATGGAGGTAGTGCAAAATCTCATCTAAATATAATTGATTTGAAAGTTGAACAAAGAATTTGTCCAAATCAAGAAGAATGTTTCCTTTTGGACACTTTAGAACAAACTCTAATGTTCCATCCACCAGCTAGCAAGTGGAAGTTATCACTCGTGCAAGTGCTTGTGGCCATAATCACTTATTCGTGTTTTCAAGGAATCATAACCTAACGTTATAATTTCCCACCAACTCCTCCTTATCAATTTTCTTTTGGGAAATCAGGTTGTTTAGTTTTTTTATTATCTAATATTAATACTTTATTGTAATTTTTATTCTATAGATGTTGTGATTTAATGAAAACCCTAATATTTCTTCTCTTTTATTAACATATATCAAAGAGTTTGGTTAATTTAATGAGATATTTGCAACAATAAAAAATTTTCTCTGACTTTGTTGTTACGATTTGTTTTTTTTACTCATTTAATTTATTAGTCTCATTAATTTTGTATTTATAATTTTTGTTTCTTTCTACACACAACATTTTGATATAAGTTTTTTTGGATTTTGCGTTTGAATTTTATATTCTTAGAAAAGTAGTGTGATGGTCAGTGAAAAAGACAATTATCTTCAATCTGTTTGTGTTCAGTTTAATGAAAAATATTATGATTATTAAAGTTATAAAATAAAATAGAAATCTATAATATAAGAAAATTCAATGTTCTGAAAAACCATAATCTACCCTTACTTATGATTTTGCCACATTCCCAAATTAGGGGTAATTTAGGTCTAAAATTTACTTTTTTCAACCAAACTAGCATTTTAAACTGGTATTTTATTAGGTTATGCAATTTTATGTCTATTATTTTGGTTTAGTAACCGACTTTACTCTTATTTGGTTGAAAACCAACAAAATTTATTCAGCTTTTTTAACTACATTTCACACTTTCCAAATTTTTTCTCATTCTCTCTTTCTTTATCTGTCCTTTTGGCGCAACAGAACCTTTCTTTTTTCAATCTCTCATCCTTCTCTCTCATTTCTTCCTCTTCTGCTTTTTTCTCTTTTTTGATGCCTCTCTCTTTCTCTCTTTCTTCCTTCTTCCTCTTCTTTTTTCTCTCTTCTATTGCCT